CCCCGCCAAGTATATTTCACCGGCCAGTGCTAGCTATCTATGATCTATTCTTACACTTACACTGTCCTTGTGTACAGATCAGTGATCATTTACACTGTAGTAGTAGATCTATATATGCAGATCAAGTGGCAGAACACTATTAGATTGCAGACAGTATTGATCATGGCTCCCATCATTGAATGAGTCCACCGTTATAGTGTCTGGTGTGCAGCTTTCACTTTTAATGCAAAGTTGCAGTCAGGAGAATTCTGCTAAATATTTGTTATAAAGCTATTTTTGTTTCTCATATTCAACTCTTTTATTATTGAGAAAATATAACAACCTTGGAGCTTCAGGATAAGTATGTCAGTTACATTTTCAACTCTAGAAAGTTTAAAAAGACATTAGAAAAAAACCTGATCGGATCTTGCTAATATTCTAAAAGATGCATAGTAGATTGTGATAAAAATATTTTGTAAATAGAAATAGAAAAGATCAAGAAAAGCAGTCGTTTGTTTAGTCAATGTGTCTTGAAGGAAGGTATTTTAGGTATTGTCATTGGTCACCATTATTTTTATTTTTTTTTTTTGTCATTGACAGAACCGTCGTGGTGCATAACAGTTTTCCTCAAGATGGTGGCCCACTTGGCAGCTGTGTTGTTCCCCGGGATCATCATCTACAGTGCTGTTCCCGGATCAAGTTAGTGACAACCCATTTGGGTTTAAATCTACATGATATACAGGATGTCCCAAAGTCGAGCACAATCCTGGTTTAAATATATATATATAAAAGACAGTTTGATTGATATAAGTCTATAACAATGCTCGAATTGAGCTCCCTCAGAAACAAAACAAAACATTGACTGACTCTCTCAAGAAAGCTGTGGGGGGGGGGGGGGGGGGGGGGGGGGGGTTTCACACCTTAATCACTAAATGTTTCACGGATGGTCCTTTGGCTCTCTTGTCTGTCCCCGTCGTTTTATGCCAGAAAAATTCTGAAATTATGCAAACTGAGCCCAAAAATGTGAAATTATTCGATTCTGTTAATTTTAACAAAGAATGACAAAGGAAAATAATCAGAAATTATGCAAAAAATGATCAAATTTTGCTAAATTATGCGGGGTGCATAAAACCACGGGGACAGTCTTACGATTACTGCATCCTTCGAATTGTTCATTCCTGTGTGTGAAGAAGGTTGTCAGGATGGTGCGCAACTTTTGGGACACCCTGCGCAGTTGAGTCTGCTCAAACTGAACACTGTGTATCTGAAAACAATGGGAAACCAAGAGGAAAAAAAAGGAAGTGTCTACGTACTCCCCGATTGGGGTCTACGTAGTCATGGTGTCTAGGTGGACCGTGGACCCCAGACCCCAAAAATGTTGGATTGTGATTGGCTTGCTGAGCGAGCGGTAGTTTACATTGGTTACAATGCAAGGCTGCTAGGCCTACTTACTGATCATCTCGGGTAGTGATTGGATTTATCTTGTCTTACTATAATTAATTTATTTTAGCCTAGAGAGAGAGAGAGAGAGAGAGAGAGTTTAATGAATAAACGTATCTAGGCCACCAGGACACCACTAGATCTAGATCTAGATTTAGATCATCTACTTTCCGAACTGCACACTCTTGGCTGGGTGCACAACAAAATCTAGATCTAGATACGTTTATTCATTAAATACTCTCTCTCTCTGGGCTAAAATAAATAAATTATAGTAACACTAGATCGACACACTGCCAGAGATGATCAGTAGCCTTGCATTGTAACCAATGTAAACTTCCGCTCGCTCAGCGAGCCTATCACAATCCAACATTTTGGGGTCCACTTTGACACCCTGACTACGTAGACCCCAATCGGGGAGTACGTAGACACTTCCAAAAAAAATCCTAGAATTTTGTTCTCTTCTATTTGAGCAACTCTCCAAACTGAAGAAAATCCTAGTCCTGCAGCCTTTGATTTAAGCGGACTCCGCTGTTCTCCTGAAAAATGTAGTTTAAATGTTTTGTGTGTGGGTGGCTGGTGAGTGCTCTGGTATGGCCTGCTCCTTGTTTCCTTTCCAACATCTATCATCCTCATCTCCACTCCTTTATCCTTCTTTTCTTTGCATGCATCTCGCATTTATTTGTGTTGCAAGTGCCGTAAAACTGGTACTAATGCTAAAAATTTATTGTGTTGAAGCTGAGGCTTTTTTTTACAATGCACTCTCATCACTTTCCTCTCTCTTTTTTCTATCTCTCTCACCCTTTTTCTCTCACTTTCTAACACTCTCTCCTTCTTTTCCTCTCTCTCTCTCTCTCTCTCTCTCTCTCTCTCTCTCTCTCTCTCTCTCTCTCTCTCTTCTATTGCTCTCTATCTCTCTCTCTGTGTGTCTCACTTTCTCTCTTTCTTTGTGTGTCATACACACTCATACACACACACACACACACACACAAACATACTCACTCAAAAACAAACACTCGCATGCATGTACACACACACTCTTCCATGCACAAACAAGCAAAAGATATAATAATAATAATGATAATAATAAATGAATTTATAAGGCGCCAGAATCCACAAAAAGTGTTCGTTGGCTCTTACAAAACACACACACACACACACGCACGCACACACACACGCACACGCACACATACACACACACACACACACACACACGCACACAAAAGCTCTAAAGCTCAGTACCACCACAACATGCATAAATTTTAAAAAGAAAACAAACAAACTGACAGATATTGCAGATACAGTTCCAACATTATATTATAAATATGTGAGGCAGCATGGTGGAATCAGGCTCTCGTCAATTTTTGGGCATGTAGAGTTATTGGTATCAACTTAAAGCTTGTTCACTTGTCTTTGCTTGGATGTAAAAAATATCTATTTATCTTGAATACAAGTCAAGATATTTGCAAATGGGTGGGGGTCTCCTGTTTTCAGAGGTAAAATTAGTGAGAAAATGGCAATCAAAGATTAGTTATATCCCTAGCTTAAGAGTCTGTGGTAACTGAAAATTTACATTTTTTGTGCCTTTAATCAACGTTTTTAAGAAAAATCCACACAGAAATGAGTTCTTTAATGGTTATGAAAGGTGTTGAGCCGAAAAACAAAAATTTGATAAAAATTAACAAACCTGCGGGAAAATGCCAGTTTTCTTCACTTTGATTATTTTGATGAACGCCTGATTCCACCACACTGCCTCACATATATACTTTCCTGAAAAACATTGTCTTCAACTTTGATTGAAATTGATCAATTTAAAGAGACATTTTAACATCTAAGTCCCAATTGTTCCAAAGTTTTGGGGCACAGATGGAAAAGACCCTTACACCCAACATTGTTCTGGACCTGGGCATGCAGAGCTGATGGTCATTTGAAGATCTTAAATTATGAGATAATAATGATAATAATAATAAATGACATTTATATAGCGCTCAACCCCGAATAAAGTACACAGGCTCTGAGCGCTTTACAATACAGTACAACATA